TGGATGCAGGCATGTTGGCCACCACGCCCAGCTAATTCTGTAATTTTAGTAGACATGGGGTTTCTCCATATTGGTCAGGCTGGTCTTGATTCCTGACCAAAGGTGATCCGCCCACCTCAGCCTCCAAAGTGCTGGGATTACAGGCGTGGAGCACCACGCCGCCGGCAAAGTAGACTATATTTCTGACAGAAGAAACAGAGTGTAGGAGATTGAAACATCAAGTAAGTACAAATAAACATCACAAAAGTAGAGCTAGCTTAGCCTAAAAGCTATCATTCCTTCAACAAGTATTTAAGCTCTACTAAATCAAGGTACCATATACATCTCATTCACGAGTGTCTCAAAATCTAGTATAATAAGACTTGGCATGTGCACCAAAACAGAGCCCTGAGACAGGAAGAGGCTTTACAATTTTCCTTGGATGGGAAGACTCAATGTTGTATTCTGCCCACTTGTTAAAAAGGAAGTTTTCATATAACTTGATATTAATATAACATGAATACTTGAAGCTTCATCTAAGAGTAGACTAACGAAAGTATTTAATGAAAATTTTTAGAAAGTACGTTGGGTTGAAGTCCTGTGCTTCTGCTGTGAGTAGAGTATCTTTGGTAGCAGTGGTTAGCTCTGCAAAGTGAAGATGGGGTTAGCAGTCTTCACCACCCATCTTTCTGTCTCTTTGTGTGTATATTCTTGTTTGTTCAAAACACGGTAATTAGAAAAAGGAAGAATAGGGCTCAGGAGGGTTTCCCTTCCAAGGCATCAAATATACTATAAACATGGCCACCAGAACACTGCAGAGTAAACTCCATCAGTGAAGCAGGAGAAACTAGAGACAGTCTTATTTCATATAGGCAATTAAATAAAAATGAAAAATCATATAAAATTTAAGTCAGTGGCCAAAAGTATGAAATACTCAATGAACACTGTTGAAGCCAATTTGCTATTCCATGTAAACAAAATAAAATGCCTTACTTCACACCAAACCCCTAACTTCCAGCATATCACTAACGTTACACCTGGCTGAGTTAAAAAGTGATCTGTTCTTTATCTGTTTTTACATATTTTACAGAGAGAAAATTAGATGTATATTTTATTTGTATAATTACCAACAAAAAGGATGAAAGCAAGGACGAAAAATGCAGTCCAGTAAAGTGTTTATAGAATTAGTAGTTTTCCCACAGTTTGCTTTCGGTGAATAATTAACACTCATGAATACAGAAATGCAAACCGAGTGCAAATGTTTTCAACAGTGAGAGTGTAAATGCTGGAGCTGAAGGAAATACTGTCTGGGGTCAGGGCCTGGCGGCCAACTGCAGGCTCCCCAGCATATGTAATGGCACTGAAAGCCAGAGAAGAATGCAATCTCCACCAAACACTGCACTTGTAGTGGGGCTAGGAGAAAAGAGGCGCCACTTCCAGTTTGACATCTAGAAATGAGTAACAAAAACAACTGAATCCTTCCCGTTGCCTTGATTCCTTAGATTTCTTACATCACTTAACAAGAAGGAAACTATTTTCACCAGTAGGCGTGGTGGCACATGCCTGCAATCCCAGCTACTCGAGCGGCTGAGGCAGGAGAATCGCTTGAACCCAGGAGGCAGAGGTTGCAGTGAGCCGAGATCGCGCCATTGCACTCCAGCCTGGGCAACAAGAGCAAAACTCTGTCTCAAAAAAACAAAATATAGTCTACTTACTGTATTTTCTAGGAACAGAAAACTGAAAAGTGAGTCTTGTCTCTATTGGTAAAAATGTACCTTAAATACATTCATACACACACTCCTAATGAGCATATTTTTAATTAAATGAGAATGTGCTTTGACTTCAATTCATTATTTTCATTCAACAGAGAAATTGGACTTGACATTTCATTCTTTCAGTTACTCCCTCTTACGGGATATTAATTCACGTGCCTGTGTTACTGGTAAACCCGTCAGCCACGGGGGCATCCATGGACACATCTCTGCTACTGGCCGTAGTGTCTTCCATGGGATTGAAAACTTCATCAGTGAAACTTCTTACATGAGCATTTTAGGAATGACATCAGGGTTTGGAGATAAAACATTTGTTATTCAGGTAAAAAAAAAAAAAAATTTCCTTAATAACTGATAGACATTAAGTAAAGTTTTTAGAATTGTACTTTTAAAATTCAGTTATCTCGAATCTCTTAAATTTTAGAGTGTTGGTTTTCAGAGTAATAGATCTTTTGTTTTTTGAACCTTAGTATGATTCATGTAACTAGACCTGATTTAAGTATCTCTCAAGTACATGTGAAACTATTACCAACTATCACCAAATTCAACCAAAATATTGGTCAGTATTCAAACCTGAAATTGTATCTAGAAGGGCAAGTCTCTTAACATGATTTTCTAAGTTTTGTAAGTATATAGAAAGGTTTACACATTGACCCAAATTTGTTTGATATGGTAACATGTATTTTACTTAGGATAATCTTAATTAAGTTGGAATTACTTTGAGATAGAAGTTGTGGCTGGGCACAGTGGCTCATGCCTGTATTCCCAGCACTTTGGGCAGCCAAGGCAGGTGGATCACTTGAGGCCAGGCGTTCGAGACCAGCCTGGCCAACATGGTGAAACCCCATCTCTACTAAAAATCGAAAAATTAGCCGGGCATGATGGCGGTGACTGTAATCCCAGCTACTCAGGAGGCTAAGGCAGGAGAATCACTTGAACCCTGGAGGCAGAGGCTGCAGTGAGCTGAGATTGTGCCATTGCACTCCAGCCCATGTGACAGAATGAGACTCAGTCTCAAAAAAAAAAAAAAAGTTGTATTTCTCCAAATTAGTGACATCCCTTTTCACAACATGGGACATCTGATCATCAAGGTCTGAGGACCTAGTGGTGTATTTAATACCACTGCCATTTATTGATTGATTGATTGAGATGCAGTCTCGCTCTGTCCAAGCTGGAGTGCAGTGACGCGATCTCGGCTCACTGCAACTTCCATCTCCCAGGTTCAAGCGATTCTCCTGCCTCATCCTCCCAAGTAGCTGGGATTACAGGCATGGGTCACCACACCTGACTAATTTTCGTATTTTTAGTAGAGACGGGGTTTCACCATGTTGGCTGTGGCTGGTCTCGAACACCTGACCTCAAATGATCCACCTGCCTCAGCCTCCCAAAGTACTGGGATTACAAGCGTGAGCCACCATGCCCAGTCATCACATTCTTAAACAGAGAATTTTATTGTTGAAGAGAAACTAGTTAGTACATTGTGGTTTTGGTTTTTTTTTTTTTTTTTTGGCAAAAGAATTTTGAGAATTGCTTCTAAATGAACAGAATGTGGATTTACATTGATCAAAATATGACTCTTGTTGTCTATACCAGGACTTTAATTTTTGTGTCATGGATAATTGTTCTTTACAGGGATTTGGTAACGTGGGCCAACACTCTATGAGATATTTACATCGTTTTGGTGCTAAATGTATTGCTGTTGGTGAGTCTGATGGGAGTATATGGAATCCAGATGGTATTGACCCAAAGGAACTGGAAGACTTCAAATTGGTATTAATACATTTTTATGGCATAGACACTAAATATAAACATTTAAACTCTGGTGCAGCTATTAATTGTGATTTTCAATCAATGGCAGCAACATGGGTCCGTTCTGGGCTTCCCTAAGGCAAAGCCCTATGAAGGAAACATCTTGGAGGCCGACCGTGACATACTGATCCCAGCGCTAGTAAGAAGCAGTTGACCAAATCCAATGCACCCAGAGTCAAAGCCAAGGTGACAACATTATAGAAACTGGAACCAATATTATCAATGTGAATGACATTAGGGGGATCATAGAAGAGTCTGATTGAATTTTCTTTTTAGCAGCTTTATTGGCATATATTGCACATTCCGTACAGTTCCCCCATTTAAAGTACGTAATTTAATGAATTTTAGCTCCCTGCACAGAGTTGTGCAACCATTACCAAAAAAACACATCTGCCTGACACTCCTGTTAAAAAGAAAAAAAAAACCTAGATAAATAGAAAAGTGAAAGGTAGTTTTATACACTTTGCAGAGCAAAATAACCTCTATTTAATTTTAACTGAAACTGTGCTTCTCCCCACAGGCCCTTGTTCATATATGCATATCTCTTGCCCTCAGTGGAGGGGATTTGACGGTGTTGTTGGCGTTTCTCTATGTTCCTGACTCTCTTGCAGATCATTGCTGAAGGTGCCAATGGGCCAACAACTCCAGAAGCAGACAAGATCTTCCTGGAGAGAAACATTATGGTTATTCCAGTAGGTCATCTATATTGATTAGGCTTTATATGTACTTAGAATCATAATTGTCTTTTGCAGGGAATTTGGAGGAAGAGAGGAATTGTTAGTCTCCCAAGCTCTAGTGAATTCATCTTTATTTCATTTTTCAGAAAATATAGTAGAAGCATGGTTAATTCTAAGCCTGTCACTTTTCACTGTGATCTAAACATTTATTCCAATTTCAGGCTGTTTACTGAATGTCTTTAGCCTTCTAAGAGTCTGGTTATAGAAATGTGTGCTGTGTTAGAAACACTATTCTAACTTAAGTTCTAAGATTTTCTGTATGATTCCTAACCTTATGCATTTCAAGTGCCCCTTCTGGCTTTACTCAGAAAACTAATATGAGGCACACATGCTCAGGTTTTTTAGCAGGTACGCATGAGTCTACACCAAAAAGTTATTAGAAATTAGTGTGGGCTTGGGATGCATTTTAAAGAACCCCCTTTACTGAAAACGCTTAAGACATTTAACGTAACTGAAATGGGCTACCCTTAGGTAATAGGAGAAAGAATCCTGTCTTCTGAGAGGCCCTGTGGACAGTCCAATCCAATTGGTTGGTGGGCAAGCCGTTTAGTCTGATGAGAACTTCTGGTAGAGAAGAGGCTCTAACCAAAGATTATTAACATTCATTGATTAATAAGCCAAACAATGATCTTTTTTTCCCTAAATAGAAAAAGCATTAGATGGAATTGGGCGGGGTGGGGAGGAGTGTTAAATTAAGTGTGAAATTCCTGATACTAGCTAAAATATATTTGCAATATTTGAAGTTCAGTCTACCTTGGTATTGAAGTTAAGGTCTTAGGTTCATTTTAAGCTTTTACTAAAACCATCATCTTCTAATTTCTTTGGTGTCTTATTTTTGTGTATAGGATCTCTACTTGAATGCTGGAGGAGTGACAGTATCTTACTTTGAGTGACTGAATAATCTAAATCATGTCAGCTATGGCCATTTGACCTTCAAATATGAAAGGGATTCTAACTACCACTTGCTCAGTGAATGTTGATAATCTTGTTCTCCAAAACTCATTTTTTTTTTTTTTTTATAGAGCAGGAGTGAAAGTTTATTAAAAAACTTTTTTTTAATTATACTTTATGTTCTAGGGTACATGTGCACAATGTGCAGGTTTGTTACAAATGTATACATGTGCCATGTTGGTGTGCTGCACCCATTAACCCATCATTTACATTAGGTATATCTCCTAATGCTATCCCTCCCCCGTACCCCCATCTCATAATAGGCCCTGGTGTGTGATGTTCCCCTTCCTGTGTCCAAGTGGTCTTATTGTTCAATTCCTACCTATGAGAGAGAACATGTGGTGTTTGGTTTTTTGTTCTTGCGATAGTTTGCTGAGAATGATGGTTTCCAGCTGCATCCATGCCCCTACAAAGGATAGGAACTCATTCCTTTTTTATGGCTGCATAGTATTCCACGGTGTATATGTGCCACATTTTCTTAATCCAGTCTGTCATTAATGGACCTTTGGGTTAGTTACAAGTCTTTGCTATTGTGAATAGTGCTGCAATAAACATACGTGTGCATGTGTCTTTATAGCAGCATGATTTATAATCCTCTGGGTATATACTCAGTAATGGGATGGCTGGGTCAAATGGTATTTCTAGTTCTAGATCCTTGAGGAATCGCCACACTGTCTTCCACAATGGTTGAACTAGTTTATAGTCCCACCAACGGTGTAAAAGTGTTCCTAATTCTCCATATCCTCTCCAGCACCTGTTGTTTCCTGACTTTTTAATGATTGCCATTCTAACTGGTGTGAGATGGTATCTCATTGTGGTTTTGATTTGCATTTCTCTGATGGCTGATCATGTGTCCATTGGCTGCATAAATGTCTTCTTTTGAGAAGTATCTGTTTATATCCTTTGCCCACTTTTTGATGGGGTTGTTTGGTTTTTTTCTTGTAAATTTGTTTGAGTTCTTTGTAGGTTCTGGATATTAGCCCTTTGTCAGATGAGTAGATTGCAAAAATTTTCTCCCATTCTGTAGGTTGCCTGTTCACTCTGATGGTAGTTTATTTTGCTGTGCAGAAGCTCTTTAGTTTAATTAGCATTGCTTTTGATGTTTTAGACATGAAGTTCTTGCCCAGGCCTATGTCCTGAATGGTATCGCCTAGGTTTACTTCTAGGGTTTTTATGGTTTTAGGTCTTAACATTTAAGTCTCTAATCCATCTTGAATTAATTTTTGTATAAGGTGTAAGGAAGGGATCCAGTTTCAGCTTTCTACTTATGGCTAGCCAGTTTTCCCAGCACCATTTATTAAATAGGGAATCCTTTCCCCATTTCTTGTTTTTGTCAGGTTTGTCAAAGATCAGATGGTTGAAGATGTGTGGTATTATTTCTGAGGGCTCTGTTCTGTTCCATTGGTCTATATCTCTGTTTTGGTACCAGTACCATGCTGTTTTGGTTACTGCAGCCTTGTAGTATAGTTTAAAGTCAGGTAGTGGGATGCCTCCAGCTTTGTTCTTTTGGCTTAGGACTGTCTTGGCAATGTGGACTCTTTTTTGGTTCCATATGGACTTTAAAGTAGTTTTTTCCAATTCTGTGAAGAAAGTCATTGGTAGATTAATGGGGATGGCATTGAATCTATAAATTACCTTGGGCAATATGGCCATTTTCACAATATTGATTCTTCCTATCTATGAGCATGGAATGTTCTTCCATTTGTTTGATGTGTAGTTTTCCTTGAAGAGGTCCTTCACATCCCTTGTAAGTTGGATTCCTAGGTATTTTATTCTCTTTGAAGCAATTGTGAATGGCAGTTCACTCATGATTTGGCTCTCTGTTTGTCTGTTATTGGTGTATAAGAATGCTTGTGATTTTTGCACAGTTGATTTTGTATCTTTGCTGAAGTTGCTTATCAGCTTAAGGAAGATTTGGCTGAGACGATGGGGTTTTCTAAATATACAATTCATGTAATCTGCAAACAGGGACAATTCTTTTCCTAATTGAATACGCTTTATTTCTTTCTCTTGCCCAATTGCCCTGACCAGAACTTCCAACACTGTGTTGAATAGGAGTGGTGAGAGAGGGCATCCCTGTCTTGTGCTAGCAAAACTAATCTTTTGAGCCAGCTAAAAAAGGCTTTGAAAAGGTCTACTTAAGAAAACCTTCCCCTTTGGGTAAGAATTGAGTCCCAGAAAAGAAAATAATATTTTGTCTCATGAAACTTAGACCAAAAATGCACAATGTCTTTCTGGATATTAACTCTCCCAGATACTTATATCCAGATTTTTATTCTGTGATGTAATGTTCACAGAATATAATCTACAAGTGAATTTTTTTTTTTTTTTTGAGACAGAATCTTGTTTTGTCACCTAGGCTGGAGTACAGGGACGCAATCTCAGCTTACTGCAGCCTCCGACTCCCAGGTTCAAGCAATTCTCCTGCCTCACCCTCCCAAGTAACTGGGACTATGGGCATATGCTGTCACACCTGGCTGAGTTTTGTATTTTTAGTAGAGATGGGGTTTCAACATGTTGGCTAGGATTGTCTTGATCTCCTGACCTTGTGATCCGCCTGCCTCAGCCTCCCAAAGTGCTGGGATTACAGCCATGAGCCACTGCACCTGGCCAATAATAATATTATTATTATTATACTTTATGTTCTAGGGTACATGTGCACAACATGCAGGTTTGTTACATATGTCTACATGTGCCATGTTGTTGTGCTGCACCCATTAACTCGTCATTTACATTAGGTGTATCTCCTAATGCTATCCCTCTACACAAATAATATTTTTTTAAGTGTGATTTTTAAACCCCACTGCTAATACTCATTTCTGTCTCTGGTTGCTCTTAGTAAAGGCCTGTCTAGTGTCAAGAA